TAGTTCAAGATCACCAGCCTCTCCTTGAGAGAAAGACGGGAGTTTCTACTCTCATAAACAGTTACAATCTCAGAAGCCCACGAGGACAATTCTACCCAGTCCTATAGGGTTGCAATGAGAGCAACAACTCGATACCAATAAGTTTGGCTTGTTTTTTCACGAAGTATACATAACAAATCTAAGCAATAAGAAACTCTTTTAATTGTAGCAGTATTAGTATATAAAATATATAAAAGAATGGTGTATTTTTCAACTGTTGGCAGTTCAGGTTTGATAGTGTTGTTGTTAAGTGCCATCAGTTTGGTTCCAACTCATGGGGACTCTGTGTCTAATTGAACAAAACACTGCCCGGTACTGTCCCGTCCTCACAATTGTTCTTGTGCTTGAGCCCATTGTCGCAGCCCCTGTGTCAATCCATCTGGTTGAAAGTCTTTATCTTTTTTTACTGCCTCTCGATTTTACCAAGTGTGGGAGTTATATAATCTGTCGTCAATTTGAGACGTAAGAGTGAAGGGGTGGAGTTTAGCCTGTCAATCAGATCACAGCTTGATGACCTCATTTGGAGGTGCTAAGAAGATAAATAGCTTGCTGGAGGTGGGACACACACTCACTCCCTGCTAGACACTCCCTGGAAGACATTACTGCCAAAGAGCCTGATGGAGCTACACTGATGCAGCCAGAGCCTGGAGCTGGAGGAGCCATGTGGAGACCCACCCAAGCACTGAGGTGCTTCTACCACCATTGGATCCACCAGACTTTCCACCCACTGGCCTGTGATCCTTCTGTATTTGGCATCATCTCATGTGTTGCATGAGTCTGGAGAGAAATTTATACATTGGTATTAGACATATGGGCTTACATTGGATTTATGGACTTGATCTGGACTTGGCTGGGATGTTTTCTCAATATTCAATTGCTCTTGTATATAAAGCCCTTTCTTATACACATATGAGTGTCCATGAATTTGTTTCTCTAGTCTACCCAGACTAACACACCAAGAATGATATCCTTCTTCAGGACATGGTCTCTTCTGACATGTCCAAACAAAATGTGTCAGATAAAGTCTTGTCACCCTTGCCTCTAAGGTAAGGTGACCAGACATCCCGCTTTTGGCGGGACAGTCCCGATTTTTGGTGTTTTAAAAAAGTCCTGATTTTTGGAAAGAATGCACGACAAGCTAGGGAATGGTCTAATTGGTCCATATAGACCAAATTTTTAATCAATAACACCACCACCCCCCGCCCCCGGTCAATGGCATCCCGCTTTAAATCTGGTCACCTTACTCTAAGGAGTCTTCTAGCTAAATGTCCAAGACAGGTTTGTTGGTTCTTTTGACAGTCCGTGGTGCTTTCAATATTCTTTGCCAGCACCGTAATGCAGACAGCTCAATTCTTCAGTCCTCCTTATTCAATGTTCAACTTCCACAGGCATATGATGAGGCGGCTGAAAATACTATGTCTTGAGTTAGGCGCACCTTAGTCCTCAAAGTAAAATCCTTGCTTTTCAGCACTTCAAAGAGGTCACATGCAGCAGATTTACCCACAGCAAGGCATCATCTGATCTCTTGACTGCTGCTTCCATGAGCGTTCATTGTGGATCCCAGCAAGCTGAAATCCTTGAATGCTTCCATCTTCTCTCGGTTTTTTCCTGATGGTACCAGTTGGTCCAGTTGTGAAGGTTGTGGTCTTCAGGCTCGTGTTGTACAGACTTCAATCCTTGATCTTCATCAGCGAGGGCTTCAAGTCCTCCTCACTTTCAGCAAGTAAGGCTGCGTCATCTATATATCGAAGGTTGTTGATCAGCCTTCTCCCAAGCCTGATGTCACATGCTTCTTCATAGAATCCAGCTCTTCTGTTTATGTATGCAGCATACAGACTGAATAAGTATGGTGAGAGGATACAACCCCGACACATACCTTTCCTGATTTTAAGCCATGCAGTATTCCCTTGGCCAATTCACCTCATGCACAGCCATCGCCTGTCAGTGGCAGGCTGTGTGTTTTTCTGATGCTCAGCAGATTTCAGTGACATTCCAGACTAGCCACCGTCGGTGAATCGATTCAGACTCCTGGGCATCTTACAGGAGAGTAGAACAGCTCCTTCAGGTTTCTGAGACTATGGATCTTCATGGGCATGGATAGCCTCATCTTTCTCCCAAAGAGAATCTGCTGGGTTTGAATAGACAACCTTGGGGTTAGCAGCCCAGTGCTTACTCCATTGTGCCACCAGAGCCCCTTTCCAGACTAACGTGGAGGAAGAAACCCAGGGATCTACTTATGAAAAATCAGCCAATGAAGACCCCATGCATCAGAGCCATCTGAGCCCAAACTGATCATGGGGATGGCACAGGACCTAATGACAGGCAGTGGATTATACATTAGGCTGCTCATAGGTCAGCAGT